TTGTTGTTGTTGTTGTTGCTGCTGTTGCCATGGACGCAGCTTTTAAACAATTTGATTTTATTGCATGGCAAAATTCAATGAAGCGGCCAACGACAAAATGACAAAACGACGAAGCGGCAATGGCAATGGCTGACAGCAGGCGCTAAAATTTGCATACAGGAACATACGCCACACACACACACACACACACACACACACACAGTGACAGAGAAAGAGACACACACACACAGAGACAACATGTTAATGCAAATAAATTGCCTGCTGACTTTATTTAAATTTCCCATAAGACACACATGGTTAGGTGCGGGTAGAAGCATCGGGCCCCTGCTCGGGCGGGAAACTTCTCCAGCTACTCTAAACACGAGGCGACGAGGCGGCAAAGTGTTGGAGGATTGGGGACCAGCGCATGAGGAGCCACAAGAAGCTGGAACATGTGTTGCCTGTGGGCAACGCTGGCGGTTGCTTTTTGTAATTTTAATTTTGATTTTAATTTGTGTTGAAATATTTACATAATCACTGACTGACAACAGGCTGCAGCAGCGGCAGCGGCAGCGGCAGGACTCAAGCTTCAGTTCGTTTTAGGAGCCGATGCTAAGCAGCTGCCGCCTCGCCAAAATTTATTAAACTTTAATGAAAATGTATAAGGCACGCCTGCATAAATGATTTAGCAAGCACACACGCATCGCATGTGTGTGCGTGTGATGTGTGTGTGTTATTGTTGTTGCGCATCTCATTAATGAGACATTAGCATTAGGCATTTGAATTGAACTAAACAGCCAACGGCAAAGCAGCTGTTAGCACGAGAATCTGCGAAACATTTATCATTGCGCAAAATCACAACAAGAAACTGTTGAATAACAGGTGAAAAGAGGTTTACCTATAATAATAATGATAATGATAATGATAATGACAATAACAATAATAATAATAATAATAATAATAATAATATTAATAATAATAGTAGTAATAATAATAATAATAGTAATAATAATAATAATAATTAGTATAATTCAAATTTAATAAAATAACTGAGAATCTGAGATTGAAAAAATTTCGTAATGTTTCAAAATAGAGAAAACTCTCTGTTTTACGCATTTCCAGATATTTACTATATTTCAAAATTTCAATTGTAGAAATCAAATCTAGCCCTCCTTTGTTTTTGAAAATACATACGGCTTTTAATATTTTCAGTGCAATGGGCAATTGTAAAGAAGAAGTTCAATTGTTTAAATAAAATTTTAAAAATATTTAAAAAAATATTAAAAAAAACAGGTAGAACCTAATTAAATGTACATATAAATAATAAATTAAATAATTATAAAAAAAAATACATGAATGCAGTACAGTTAATTGATTGTAGTACTTAATCTATAGCTTAAAGAGATACAAATTATATTATAAAAGTCGCATTATTTTCTTTAATTTTATATTAAAAAAACTTTTTAAAGTTTTGTGTTTTTAAAGGTTTTTAAAAGGGAACTCAAATTTTGATGTGTTTAACACATCAAAGGCATTTTCAAGGCTCTGGCAAAAATTCAAAATTAGAAGTGCTCTAGTAATTCGTAAAGGGGTGAGTCCTTCAGTTTTATAATCCTAAAAAAAAGCGCCTGTAGTTGGCATTGCTCGGCTCAACTTTGACCATTTTAATTGCGCTTAGTTAGCGACAAATGCAACACAAACAACCGCAGCGAGCGGCACTTGCCGCAACATGCAACAAAATATCAAAAAAGGGAAAATTGCAAAAAAAAAACAAGAAATATTTTTAATTAGAGCCCGCAAAGACAAGCTTTACGCATATGTGTATGTGCTATCAGGCCTTGCAATTAACTTTGGCAGTGCATTAGAGGAGTGGCAAGTGGCAAGTGGGCGTGGTACTATCTTGAGTGGAGGCGGGGCGGAGCTGGGCTGGGCTGAGCAGAAGTTGGGCGCCAACGCTTTCACTTGGCGAAAGATCAAAGGGATGCAGCCAGCGAGCATATGCAAACAATGGCCGCTTCATAGAGAGCTCCAAACTGCAAGCTGGAAGCTACTTCAGCTGCATAAAAAACAAGCGAGCGCTTAAAATGCAACTGCAACAACTGCAACAACAACAACAACAGCAACAATAACAAATGGCAGCAAGCGCTCAACAAACGCGGCTCAACTTTAGATGAAGGCATAAACTGCTAGAGAGGGGCTTAAAGAGCAAGAGAGAGAGAGAGAGATAGAGAAAAAGAGAGAAAGGGGCATAAGTGAATGAAAATTTTTCATGAATGGAATCCAACTGGCAGATAAAAGCCCCAGTGGAAACCCATAAATACAGGTAGTCGCATTTTGAATAGCTGGGTAAACGATGCCAAGTTGAACGTGCGGCGAGAGGGGGTATGGGGGGGAGGGGGATTGGAGAGGTGGTGCATGGCTGCGAAGCCTAAGTGAATTGCCGTTTGCCACAGGACCACAGACAACATGACAATGCCAAACACAACTCGAATCCTCGACTCGACTCGGCTCGAATCCTCGACTCAACTGCTCGACTTCTAGTGGAGCCTGATGCCTGGGACTCTATTGCATTGTTTAGTTGCAAAAGTCCCTGGCAAAAAGCCTTTGATTTATGGCATGTGCGTTTTAATTTTGATTGTATTTGCCATGCGAGGCAGCTCGCTCTCTCTGTATGTGTGTGTGCGCGTGTGTGTGTGTGTGTGTGTGCCGCAGGTACAGTTGCAGCATTAATTGGTCAGCAATCAACGAAAAAGTAGTTGCATACTTTTGCGATGAGTCTGCGAAAGAAAGAGACAGAGGAAGTGCTGGAGGCGGCAAATAAGAGATGGGGAGAGCGCGTGGAAGACAGAGGAAGCTGAGAGAATTCTCATCCTTAAAAAAAGTTTAATAGTAAAACCTAAAACTCATATTTCCTCCTAAGTAAAATCTAATTGTCAGTTGTGCTCAACTCTTCTCTAAAGCATTATTTAAACAGAAATATTTCTTTTATCTAAAGAATCTGTCCTAGCATACTTTTGATAATAAACTCTGGAAAAAACTCTTATTTCCTCTTAAGTCAAGTCTAGTTAGTCAGCCTGCTCAGAACTTTTTTATTGTAAAACTCAAATCTGCACTTAAAACACTTCTCTTAAGTCTGATCTGAGCTAGAAAAGCCTATGTATCTCTTATCTGATCTCTAGAGAATCTTCCCAAACAAGCTGAAGTCTGCAAATAATTGTCGGAACTTGTTGTGGAATATTGATCAGCACCTCCCGAACAGGCTATGTTAACAAAAGGTTAGCTGGAATAATTCTCCCACTTCAAACGTTTCGAACAACCAAACACTAAACTAATATACTCTTTATAGCTGCGAAAGCAGAGTATACAAAGGCGACAAGTCGCAACCGTAAACAACATTTTCCACAAATCTCATGTTAATTTTTGTGGAAAATGCAACACAAGAGCTGCTGCAAGTGCAACACAACATCACGGCCGGAGGGGCTGGTGCCTTGCATAGATATGCACGCGAGGCTATCAGCTAAGGACGCACACACACGCTCACACACACACACACACCTCTTCCTTGCAAGCGCCACAAATTGCGGCAAAGTGCATTTTTCACAAGACAAAACGAGAGCCGAGCGCAGTGGCAAAAGCAACGAGAGATGCAATCTCAAGTGGTTATCTCTTCTGCATATAGAAGAGAGTGTGCGCGTGGGGGAAGGAGGAGAGAGAAATGAGAAAGAGGGCGGCAGAGTTAGGGAGCAGATGCAGTCCTCAGCGTCCTGACAAAGTCAACATCAAAGTTCACGCCGACAAAGCGTTGCGAGTAAATGTTTAATGAGCGAAGTGTGTGGGGCGCTGGAAGGACGAGCTGGTAGAGGGTGAGAGGGGGTGGGAGAGTCATCATGTAGTTTAGGGAGAGCGTCAAGGGAGCACAACACAGCTGGAGCAGCTGGATCAGAGCGCACAGCGACAACTCCTTCAAGCCGGGTCGCATGCCAATTAAAACAAAAGCCAAAAAACAAATGCACTTGAAGTGTGGTAGCTGGGAAATGGAAGCCTGGTAGCTGGACGAGCTGCTGGCGCAGCACCAGCACCAGCACGTTTCACAGTGTCAAAGGCGAGCCTACCAGGCCAGGCCGCCTATCACGTGAAGTGTTTGGCAACATTGTTGGACTAGCTGCCTACTCCTTACCCGGCCATGTGCGCGCTCCAAGCAACAGTTCGCCTTTGAAGTCAAAAGTATTGGGTTGGGCTACTGTAAATTAGCCACTCTCGAGGCGCAGGGAGCTGAGCGAAAGTGCGGAACGGAGCAAAGGCAGAAGCTGCAGCTACAAAGTCAAAAAGCGACAGCTCTGGGCCACAATATGCTGCAGCTAATCAAATGCAGCAAGCTGCAATGAGAGGGGCAGGAAGTCAAGCTCTTCTAATAGGATAAGCCGATAAGAGATGTTTAGGCACATTAAGGCTTTCCTCCAGCTTCAATAAAAATCAACGATTATTTCGAAACATGTGCAAGAAAACAGCTTTGATTTTCGATCTATAAAAGACCTTAGTATGGAAGCTATATAATCTAGTGGGCTGATATTAAAACGAGTAAATGTATGTCATATTTGATTTAAAAGTCTGCGCCTTAGTCTTTGATCCATAGATTTAAATAATGATTGGCGCGTATTAAATAAATCTACATATTATATAATAACAAACTGGCAAATCACGAACAAGTAAGTAAGTTCAAGTCAGAAGTGCCCGACTAGCAAATACTCTAAGCCTTTCTCTTTCACCAAAACAAAGCCAAAGCTTTAGCAAAGACATATACGCGATCTATACAAACTATTCTAGAAGCTACATATATATATTTAAAATTTACCCAATGAGTACAGGGAAAACTATTATTCCGTTAACCAACCCACAGAATATCCAGTGCTCAACAACTGTGTCATGAATTTTGTTAGGAAACCAAAAAACATGGCAATCGTTGACTTAAATGCTTTCTAGTTTTCATCTGAAATATAACTTTTTCATACATCTCATATAAGGCAGTTGCTACAACAACTGAATAATCTCAGTGTATATTCAGCATTCAACAGCACTCATATATTTTAAATACTTCGGAAAAGCAGTTCCAGAAAAAAAAAAAAATAAACGAACACACACAGCTGGAGTATTCGTTGACTTAAATTTTTGCCTTTTTTTTTCGTCGGTTTGAACGTTAATAACAATTTTATATTTAGTTAGTACGTGTGCTAAACTATATACCGGAAAAAAGCAACCAAGAAAAAAAAATTTCCAAAAAGCAAAAGCCTTAAATTTTCGGTAGTTTTAATATTGTTACAAAACCAACTCGTATCTAAATTGATATTAAAAATCAACAATGAACGGTGAGCTATAACTTTTATATATTGCCTAGCTTAGCTAAACTTTAAATTTAGATTCGCAAGCTTTCAATCAAAACAATGCCGAGGCAATGTCAATGAAGAACAGCTCCGATATGGGCGACAAGATCTCGGAGCCAAAATACGAGACCAACGACCAAGCATCGAATTGCTCACGCAATCCCATAACCGGCATGGGCTTGAATGGAGATGGCGTCGGTGGTCTGAAGCCCAAAATAGCCAAGAACCGAGGTGCGTAATTGGACTCGAAATTTTCTGAATTACACATTCCAACATATGCGAACCTTCTCAACAGCTGGCAATCCGGTTACAGGCGAGGGCTACAAATCTGGTCACACCGATATGGAAGTGCTCCGAAAAATTAGTCGTCGACCAGGTCCATTTTCCTAAGCAGCTCGATCAATTGGTTTATTTGCCACAAGAAGACGCCCAGCATTAGCTCCATGTCGAGTTGCCTTTGTTTAACCACACGACGCTGTTTTCCATTTTAATTATACAATTTTGCAGCTCGATATTGCGACTACTCGGGTTTGTGGTTTATTTCAAGGCTGGCTTTGTACCGTACCTGGTTCAAAGCCGCAATTTCAGTTTACTTTTAGCCATGAACCAAAACAGTTGCCCGAAAAGAACAGCGAAACCGAATCATTTTTTGTAGAAATTTTTTTGGAATGTCGGTATTTTTCAATAATACTTTAGCTTCAAATAAAAACAATTTGCGGGAAATCCAGCTTCAAACTCAAACCGCTTTTTAATATCAATTTTGGCGGGTTCGTGAACCGAAACTAAACGCAGTATGAACCGAACCGGCGACAGTAGCATGCAGCTCCGGTTCCGTATGAACCGTTTTTGAATACCTTGTTATACCTTAAATATCTTACTAAAATACATAAAAGTCCAGAAATATGTGAAACAAAGGAAAGTGCGTTATTGGAACCGATAACTGAACTGGCAACAGTATTGCATTTGGCTTCCGGCCTAGTTTCTGACCTTGATTGGAATGTTTTTTTTTTTGTATAACCAGCCTCAAATTATTAAAAACTTGCCAATGTTTTCAATGCTCATGCGATTATAAAACACTATCTGAATGAAGCAAGATCTGGGTTGAAGGATATGCAAAACCAGGTTAGTGAAGCGAAACGCAGGCGGCCGCCTAATTGAAACCGCGAACTAACACGAGGTCGGTATTTTTGTAGCTTTCAGCCTGTCTTTTTTTAAGAATTTAATTCTGGTTATTAATTTATTGTCTAACGCGGCATTTGAACCATTCCCTAGCCAGTTTCCTTCCATTTTTTCGCCAGCTTTTAATTACGCCCAGCTGACAGCGCTGCTACCCACAGCAAGTATTGGAGGAGCTTAGGAACTGGGCGCCCGACGATATGTGACAGCCATTTAATTTGATTTATGGCCAGTGAATAGTCTTGATTAGAACGCGCCCGCCCAAGCATGGGATTACAGAGCGCAGTCCGAGGCGAAGGCGGGATGTGTGAGCGAAGCGAATTTAACTCAATTTCACATAAATCAAAAAATGTTGCCATCACATCGAGAGGCGCCCAGAAAACACAGCCAGCCGGGAGCCAGCCGGGAGCCAGAACCGAAACCCCTGCGAACACCTTGGCGCTAATCGTATTTCAATTGTTCAAACGAATTGCGAATTGAATGAAGTGCCGAAATTTGAGTGTGGGCTAAGATGTGTGTGAGTGTGTTCACAATTCCCTTATGTGTGTGTGTGTGTGTCTCAGAGTTTACTACTCGCTCTCGCTGTCAATGGGATTACCGAGGCAGCTACAAGTTCATAAAAGTAACGCTCACGATGCCAACAATGAGCGAATTTAGGTGTCAAACGGCAGGTGGCAATGGCAGCAGCCAAATCCGAAGCGGAAGTGCCCAACGTTTGGCCAGAACGGCGGCGGGAGCTGGGCGAGGGCTGGGACAGGAGCTGTGGCTGGGGTTGGGGCTGGAGCTGGGACTAGGTGGCTCGGGGATTTGGGGACTGGGATGCGTCAGAGACAGATGATATCTTAAACACCACACACACACACGCACAACCAGTCAGCAACACAATCACACATGACTACACACAAAAACACACATACATATATATAGAGGAAGAGAGACAGAGAGAGAGAGAGAGAGAGAGAGCACGAATGTTATCAGAAAAGCAAGCGCCCGGGCGCTGTTGTACAATTTTTGACATGGGTCCCCAAACAAACGCCAAACAAAGGGCCAACACATTTGTGTTGGGGTTTGGGTTTTTTGTCGGGATCTGACAATATAGAGGACAGTGTGTGTGTGTGTGTGTGCATTGGCAAACCGCAAGAACATCAACTGATGGCAGATAAATTAAATTTTGCGGTTCTAAATGGGCAATCAATGAGGCGTTCCTCGGCTAGCAAAAGGTAGTCCTTTCTACCTATCAAATAGTAAAATTTAAAAATTTAACAAACGACAGCCAATAAGTTGCCCACACACACACACACACACACACACACACCCAAACTTCCGCACATGCTCATCTGGAAAGTCGCAATTCTCTCAGTTTTCCTTTGAAATTTTCGCTGCATTTTCACTTTGTCAAGTTGCGACTGTTCCGCAAGTTCAAAGGCAAAACGCCAGAAACGCCCCGCCTAGACAAAGGCGTTAGTCGCTAGTCAGTTGCCAGCCTCAGGTTTTGAAGCTCCCAGCAGAGACTTAGTCCAAACTCTTTCCAGCTGTTGCCAGAACAGAGACAAGTAAAAGTATTATCTGTCGCGAGTGCCCGACTCGGAGATACTGCTACGCTTCCCCAAGCTCCTGAATATACAATTTGATGGACTTAAAAGCAAAGACTGTATCTATATACAATTTTTCGGGAAGACTTCCTGAACGAACCTCCATAACAAGTTTTAAACATTTAGCACTTATGATATTCGTTTTATGCTTAATAATACAAGACTCAAAATCGATATTTATCGATGCTATAGAAATATCGCTAATATATCGTATATCATTCAAGTTCCGTCTCTAGCTACGCACAAATTCGAGTTTCTGTGTGTTACATACCTATGCACAAAACTTATATACCCTTTTTACACATTTTCAGTGGGCTTAGGGTAGAAAAAAGTTGTTAGCGAAACTTTTGCTCGCCCTCAAATATTGACTTAAGCAGCGCACCACTCGATGACTCAAGCACCTCAATTGTAAGGGGTCCAAGTCTGGTCCTTCGACTGAGGTGTTGCGGGTGTGAGTGCGTGTACAGTTGACACCTTGATGCCCTGAAGTGTCTACTAGGTGTGTGTGTGTGTGTGGGCCTGCTTATTGGTATTTATTTGGATGCCTGCACGCCTAATCAAACAGACATCTCTGATACTTGACAATAGGAAATGAGAAGCACTTGCCACATACACGTAATTTTCTATTCAATAGACTAAAACGAACAGCTTGCCCTTAAGTTCTAGGCTTTAACGGGCAAGGTTATGATATGTTTAACAATATTATAAGGCCGAGAAAAATATATCTCTCTTCAAAACTAAATACATATATGTTCTTGATCAGTCATCCCATCTGCCCAACTGTCTTCATTATGCCAACTTATTCCTCAGTTTATCTGCTCTGCTTTTCTATATATTTATGTCGTATATATGTCGGAGCTAGCCGGATCGAGCTACTACATCGATTAGACGGAAAGACCTTTGCGAAGGTTCAGGTAGAAACAGACGTTGCACACTTCATGGCAATATTATGATACCCTCCAAAAGGGTATACAAAAACAATATCAATATAAAAACAGATTTTTAAATCTAGCTTTTAGCACATAATTAGCTTGGTCTAGTGGCTAGACAAAGTGTTCGACCCGTTTTTATGTGTGGGTCAATAGAACTTGAAAAATTATTTGCAATTGGCCGATTGAAGGGTCTCCTCTTCAAACCAATCTCAGTCAGGCTTATGCCATTTCAATGGACAAGATATTTATTAATTAACCATTATCGACAACTGGTCGCCGCACTGAACGCTGGGCATTGACGATAAATGGATGTCTGAAGTCTGAAGTGCAATTTGCATGCGAGTTTTAAAATCAGCAGCAGTCGGCGAGACAACAAAAAAAGCACATGGAACAGGTCCGACGGAGGAGCAGGAGCCGTTGCTGATGAGCATCATTATGGTAAGTGCGGAGCGCTGTACATGACATGGATGGATGTCCAATGGGGTTGACAATTATGTCAGCCGATGGCAGCATTATTGCCTGCTGGCTGTCCGGGATTAACGCCATTTTAATTGAATTTTAATATTTCACACACGACTCGAAAAGCCGGAAATGTGGCGAGCTGCCTGGCTGCCTAGCTGCCGGCGGCGGGGCTTTGCATTTGCACAAAAACCGCAAGTAAACGGGCTGCCCACGACTATCGAGTGGTCGCCCAGTGGAGCGGGCCGCCAATGAAATAGCCATTATGAAAATCTGTCAACTGACATAATGGGCCACAGCCGTGCATTAAATTCACAATTGGCTGGCTTTCGGCTTTAAGGGCAATTCATAAATAGGACGATTATTGTTCAAGTCCAAATTAAACAATTGCATTCGCACGCAATCGAACGTGCAATAACTATCGATATTCGATAGCCAGTGTTGCACAACGCAAGATTGTGGCACAGCTTTTCGAAAATCGTAGTGCTGTAATACAAAATTGAATAAAACTTATCAAAAAGTAAGTTAATCCAATGTAAAACTGGCTAAAGCAGCTCTGATCCCAACCAAAAATGCTTATAGAGAACCAGTACAAGCGCAGAATGTCGAATTACAATCCAGATCTAATGCAACAGCGACTCACAACCGACCAGCGCATCCATATGCTGGAACTGGAAATTGAGAAACTGGCGAAAGATGTTCAAGCCTACAAGGAGCAGAACAGCAAGAGGGCCGGCCACAGGGATATTATGCTTATAGCCGATTCGGAGGATGAGATAATTGACATTGGTGACGAACTGACAGATTTTCAAAATGTCGAGCAAGCGGAATTCGTAAAGCGATTGCTTTGCCCCGAAAGTTTTCCCGATCATTTAGTCTGAGCTCGAAACAAGCAGCAGACTTGATTTGGGGACTTTTGTGTTAAATAAGTACAAAATGATATATGGATATGCAGCTGTAGATTGCTTCGAAAATCACACAATGTATATATACAAAACTCTGGAACTAGTTTCATTCGAGCACTCCATCAACTGGTCCGACATGTGCGCTATAGGATAGACAAGGACCTGATCAAATATGTCGGCTCCAGCAAACAATTTCCTCGCACACAGACAATGCCAGCGACGAGTGCGAATGTCCAAATATTAAATGACCATTGTGACAATCAACGACAACTGACTATAAAACTGTCAACTATTGAATGACCTCTGACTCTCTACGTGTCGGAGAGGAGGTGAAATGAAAGTGGGGGGTGCGTGACAGAACTGTCTGCAATCAGAACGAGCGAACGCAGTTGGCAATTTCTTCTTCGCCTGCTTGTTACATGCAAATTTAAACGAGTTTCAATCACCAGCGGCCATTGTCTCTCTCTCCCCCCTCTCTTTCTCTCTCTTCGCTGTCTTTGCTGGCAGTCGAACAGTGCGTATGAGCTATGAAAAAGTAATTAAATTTAGGGGCTGCAACTGGGCAACTGGCTAGTTGGATCCGACCAGCCAATGCCCTCCCGCCCAGGAAAAAAAAGTGTCATTATTAACGCATTGAACGCGCACTCCAAACAAGCTGACAGCTGTGCCCAAACCAA